GGAGTACACGTGCAACAACTTGAGCGATTCCGTAGTCCTAGAGACTAGCTTTAATCCTCAGGGCCGGCTTCCTCCCATCGGGTGGAAGTCGTCGGAGACTTTCCGACCGACCCACTAGGGTACTGTCCGTTAGTCTTGAGTGTTTACTCGAGTGATTCAGCAGCACCCCGTGACGCCTTGATCACTCAATAGTAGTACACTCTTGCTAGCTCTCTTGCTCCCGTCACAGTCGGGTGCTTATGAGACGAGCTAAATGTATTTATATCCGTCGCCTGCTCAGCAGTGCCGCCTGATAAATCTGTATCAGTTTACCGGTTCGGTACATTATGCAAATATATGCTCTTGCTAGCTCTTTTGCTCCCGTCAGCGGGTAGGCATGGAGTATAGCCATGTCCCGGCTATGTCTCGGTCAGGTCTCTCCCGAGTCGATGTCTGCCTTTGGCAAACATTAGGCTCCGGCTGGGAGGAGGGGTTCGGCCTCGTTTAGACGCCTACCCTTCTCCGTTGCCATCGATCAGGCTGAGTTTCTCGATCATTTGGAGCTCTTTGCTGAAAGAAGTTGGAGGGGTAGTAACCCAGCCCTCTCGGCCGACCTCTGGTGGTACAGGCCTTTCTTTTTCGTGGCCAGCTCTGTCATGTCTTTGGACAAGGGCGTCCAGGGCCTGGGTCCAGTTTAACTTGGTGGCTTGATCTGGTACCAGTTGCCTGGATAGTGTCCGATATTTTGGATAGCCCCTTCTGGTACCCGGACTTGTTTACATTTCCTGATTCTCAGGATCCTGTTCTCGTACTGGTTTGGTTCCCGGAGCTGGCCCTCCTATCTCAATCGCCGCCCGGTGAGGAGTAGAGATTAATGTTTGTGGTTGCGCCCATCCCCTTGGGGCCAGGTTCTCCACGTCATTGAGTTTGAGGGTCAGATGGTTGACTCTCCGTCTTTAGTCGGCGCGGCTCCCAAGCCCTCGTGGTTTGGCAGCCGACGTACAGACTATCTTTGAGTCGTCATTACCGGAGCACTTTACTCTGGCTCTACCAGGTGTGGCCCAGGCTTCCCACCTCCTTCCGCGGGAATACCGCTCATGGGGTTTGCTAGTCCGATGACGGGTATTTTGTGTGTAAGGAGGGTTTCCCTTCTCCGGTGATGTCCTCCCGTTCTAGTTTTAACGGGCGCTACCCTAGGGTGGGTCAGTTGTGTAGAAGTAATCGCACTTAGCTCCTCCTTAGGGTCAGTATTTGTTGGTATGGTCCCGGTTTCACCCACGTCGTGGTTTCATCCAGTCGTGAAACGCAAAGATCCCGGTCTCACGGAAGATCTCAGTTCTTTATTGATGACCCTCTGGCGTAGTGGAGCGGGTTGGTCCCGGTCACACTGAGTTTATTTCGGGGTTTACGAAGTCTAGTATGGCCGCTATACTCGCTTCTTCTCCCGTACCTGCGGGTAAGGAGCGCAAGCGTTCTGACGTCCAGTTGCCGACTGGGTCAAGGTAGAGACGTCTGAGTTAAATGTTACGTCAGTCGGTGTGTTCTGTAGCCGCTCAGGCTGGGCTTCGTGGCTTCTTGGTGATTTTGGTGTCTGGGGATACCAGCCATCAAAAGACCCGAAAGACACTTTGGGTTAGGGCGGAGGCTCAGCTTCTGCCCCTTCATGTGCCTCGGCTGGTAATGAGCCGGCCCTGGTCACACCTGGCTTTGGGTTCGTTCAGATTTCGCGGGTGTTGTTACTCCGGCATCCGAGATACTTTTAGGTCCGGGTTGCCAGATGCTGTTGGCCTTCTACCATGGGCCTTCGGCCGGTTGGTGAGAGTTGGGCCTGTAGTTCCTGCCCTCGCGGTTGTCTTCGACATCTGCAGCGGTATTTCAGTTGAGTTCGCCACTCGCCAAAAGGTTGTCGACCAAACGTAAGCCTTTCGCACCATGCTCTTGCGGCCTCTGATGAGGTGAGGTGTGGCGGCCATGTTGGGCCTGTTTTGCTGAATCTTTCAGTTTAGAAAGGCCCTAGAACAAGCTTCGTCACTCGACGCTTTGGCGAGGGGCACGAAGTTGTGGTTGGATTGTTATGTTTACTGTGGCCTTCCAATGTCAAGTCTCCGACTGTGACTTAGGCAGAGAGCTGTGGTAATTTTTAGACCTCAACTTGCCTCTTCTCCAACCGTTCAGACCGGGCTTCGCGCGGTGTCGAAGTAGATTAGTGGGCGAAAAGGTTTACCCTGGTCTCATCCGGCTGGTCTGCGGCCCAGTTTTGCTGGTCTGGTGTAAGCCGGAACCCGTTTTGGTTTGAGGATCGTCTTACCGAGTTCTGCCTCGGGGAGGCTCAGCTCGGGTTTTTTGCCCGTTGGTGATGGTTAAGCTCTCTTCTCCTGCTTCTTTTGCTACACATCCAAGAGATGAGTGGGTAGCTGGGTCGGGACTCACCCTTCCCGTCTGGGGTTTGGGGTTTTTCCTAACTGACGGCTATGTCTGTGACTCTTCTCCGTCGCCATCTGTGATAGGTCTCATTGAAGCCTGAAGATCTAAGGTCCCTGGTTCGAAACCACCCGGAGAACTTGCATTAGCTGTCCCGACTTTTGGCGTGTTTCTTTCTGTTTTAAAGGACACAGTTCCCTAGCTCATTTGGAGGGTAATCAGTGTCCGTCGTTGATGTTTGGGGCAACGGGCTGCCCGGCGAGTTTCCATTTCTGGCTGGTTTCGGTTCAGTGTTTCTGGTTTCTGTCCCTTTTGCTGTGGACATCTATCCCCTCTCCCGCTGAGACCGGGCCTGTTGTCCCAGTCTCTATCGGGGATTTTCTGTCATCGCCCTTCGGTGCATAATCTCTCTGGCCGCTAGGCCGGTGTCGGGGAGTACGCTATGGATTCTGGACTCTTTGAGAGAGCCTCGCGGTTAATAGTCTAGAGTCGTAGGGATTCCACGAGGACCCTTTACAACTCTCTTTTGGAGTCCTGCTCCATTTGGTGTGGAGACCTCAGGGTTTCACCCGTAGGCTTCGGTAGGTGTCATAGCTGGATTGTGATTTACTTGTTAGACAGGGGTAAAGACCTTCCGCTTTACGCGGTTATCGTTCGGTCCTCGCCGCCTCTCATGTCTGGTTTCCTGACGGCTCGGGGGTTATCTCCCGTTTCTTGTTGAAGTTACTGCGTTCTTTTCTGCAGTGACCGGCTATCACGAGGTTGGCTCCTGCTTGGAGTTTTCCGAAGGTTTTGGTTTTGGCAAAGGAGTACGCTCCATGCGCTGTCTACCTCCCCCGGCTATATCAGGTAGGAGAGGTGGGGAGTTCGGTTGGTCCCAAGACCGACCTTCGGACCGATGGAGGTTTTCTCAGTCCTCTTTCGTAATTCTCGGTCGCTCATGACAAGGTCTGGTGCCCCCGTCAGGGCACTCAGGTGGTTCTTAGAGAGGACTAAGGTTCATGGAAAGGATGTCCAGTTGTTCCTCATTTCGCGGGAGCTCCTTTCTTCTGCGTCTCAAGAATCCATCTCCAAATGGATAGTTGACGTTATTCAGGCGGTGGATCCTGAGGCCCTGTTTGCAGAGGGGAGGGCCAGTGCCCATATTTCCAGACGTAGTGGTACTTCCTGGGCGTTGTTCCAGGGAGTGGGTTTGGATGTCATTTTGAAGGCAGCGTTTTGGCGGTCTCCAAATTCCCTTCTGTCTTGTTATCTTCGGGGACGTCACCTCTGGGGAGGTGTTGTGGTGTTTGCAACTGCGTCCCTGCGGGCGGTTTCGGCTGCCTTTGTTCCCCAGTAATCTCCTTCTTGTTCGGGACATGCCTCCCGGTTCATTTGTGTGCTGGTCTAGCAAATAATAGGTAGATACATTGATTTATTGTGGTAAATTACACAAATCAGAACGGATTTTATTATTTACTATATAAGTCTATATATCTACCTATGTCCCTCCCCCGTCCTCTCTCCTTGCGGGCAACATGTCCGAAGCTATGTCTTTGGAGGCTCGTGAAAGAGGATGAATGGCGGACGTGCGATAAGCATGTGAAGGCGATGTATGGGGGTGGGGGCATGCGCGAGTGTAACGTTTTTAAAGAGTTCTCGAAGGTAGCGTAGTTTAGATAAACTAGCACATAATAGGTAGATACATAGATTTATATAGCAAATAATAAAATCAGTTCTGATTTTTCTGACTTTTTAGAGAATCAAAGTTATCGTGGATTCATCCTGGCGCCATTTTGTGAAAAACAACTCATGGTCATATCTTCATAACGGAAAGTCATTTCTCATTCAAATTTAGCAGTGATCACTGCTCCATCTTGCTGAAGCCAATTCATGAACTAGTAACAAAGAACAGAAGTTCTATACTTATTACCCGCCCGCTAAAAGACTCACCCATAAGAGAATTTGGCCAATGGAATGCTGATTATGGTTGAGACGATGTTTATACTGAGTTGTCAAGTAATGAAATTGTCAATGTATTCAATATTTCATTACATAATGCTTACAGAGCAGTCAGGTAATATAAATCATCAAACAAATCTACAAATTAATTCATGCAGCCATTTTGGGGGGTATTGGTGCATTGTGCATTCAAACATGGAAAGTCGTTTTGCTCACGTTAATTTATCTCTCAAGATAGATGTGTGGGCAATAAGATTATAGGTACAAAGATCATTTATTTCATTAAATAGAGGCATAATTAAAAGAACTGGTTTCGGTTTCCGTGGTTTCATGGTTAGGTGGTTCATTCGCTTTACTCGTAATCCTAGGGTTGAGGGTTCGAAACCTAGTCTGGCACTAACGTCCTCTGGCAGGACACTTATCTCCAGCCAGGTGTAAATTGTTACCTGGCAATTACTGCGGTAGTTATTTCGGGGCCATCAGAAAGTACAGCATTGATGATGATGAGGCTTCCCTTGGTAAACAGGATTTAAGTTTTTCATTTTTCACCTAGTATTTAAACATTTTTAAGGGATCACACTGACTTGCTAAATGTTAATTATTAGGCAAAATCATAATCACCGATAAAATAATCTTTTCATGAATCTTTCTTTTTACAGTTTCACATTCCACAGGAATTTCTAGTGGTGCAGGTGAGAACATTTTTGTTTACGTACTCAATATTATGAAAAGTAAAGTACGCTGATATTATAAGCTGAAAGACGAAGGAAAAATATAATGCGATGTGATGTTAAAAGCCTTTTTTTCGGGGGAGGGGGGGACCCTAAAGTCCAAAAATCAATGAATGAAAATTCAATAATCCTTCTCTGTCTAAACGTTCTAAGGGGAAATACCGGGGAGGGGTTTTAACAAAATGGGTCTTTCCTCTCCCCTTCTGACAATCAGCCAGTTAGAATGAACTTCACGTGAAATGTTCAATGTATGTATATCAGCGGCGAATCCCTAGATTCCTGTTTGAAGGAATAGTTGAGTTTTGTTGCGGAGGGCGCTACACAAAATAATTTGTTTGTGAGATAATGAAAAATTAAATGTCAAATTTGAAAGAATATACACTTTATTTTACAAAATCATCTTTGTTTGATTAAAATCGGTAAAAATAACCATTAAACTGGCACTGAATTTAAATTTACAACTTTTGGGGGTCTAAAATTACCTTCAGACCAATTTTAGGTTCTAAAAGGGCACTAGAAATGTCATAAATAAGAATAAGAGCAATAACCATGCACCTTAAAGGCATTTGCGGTCTTAAACAAGAACTCAACTATCCTTTTAAGCAAAATTATACACCGTAAATGAGAGGTTTAGAAGTTGTGGAATGTTTGTCAATGTGTTAACGGTGCCGTTACATTTCCACATAAAACCTCGTTCATATTTGAGGCGGTAAACCAAGGCGGTTCTATTTATTAAAAAAAACAATGATGACGTAAATGTAGGCCTAATATGCTTCATGTTTCTATATGTTGTGACACCGTATTAAAGCTTTGTAGATGTTCATAGGACATTAGTTGCACGTACTTGTCATTTATTCATACGTTATTAGTATAAAAAAACACGAAGTTTATGTTATCCAGCTAATAACATATAGATACCAGAACGTTCCAGTACGTGACAATACGTTGAATACGTTTTACGTGGTGTTATGTGGCGATACGTCGTCGTGGTACGTGGCATTATTATAAGCCCAATTATTAACCAATTGTAATGACCTTTGCAGAATCATTTCATTTTATATATTCAATGCAATTATTCCTTTCAGAGGTGCGACTTGCCGGATCAGGTAGCTCCGCCAATCAAGGTCGAGTTGAGGTGTATGCCAATGGACAATGGGGAACAGTATGCGACGATCTTTTTGGGCAGAAAGACGCTAATGTAGTGTGCAGGCAGTTGGGCTTCCCTGGAGCTTCTGGCTACACGAAAGCCCAGACTTTCGGCGCCGGTTCAGGACCCATCCTTATGGACAATACGAGATGTGTAGGCAACGAAACTTCAATCATGGACTGCCTGACGAACCCAATCGGTGTCCACAATTGCCAGCACTCTGATGATGTTGGAGTGATATGTCGCGTTGCTCAGGGTAAATCAGCTAAATCTCTTAACAGACTCCGATTTTTGCTCCTGCTCTGAAAAATACTCTTCCGTTCTTGGTTTCGTAATCAGGGCATTAGCGATTCTAATGGGGAGATTAAAGGGGGCTCAAATCCCCTGCCGCTGTACAAATAAAATAAAACAATACACATTTCCAAGCACTCGACCTCTCCCACCCCAAAACAAATCGATTATAACAAGCAAAGGACGTGCAGACGATCAATGTAAGAACCCATAGAACACCAAGGCCTCACCTCGTCCAAAAAAAATAACAAAACTAAATCTTCTAGAACCACGCCCAGCTAGATATAGGATTAGAGTTAGGGTTTTATGAATAAGTTTAGACTCATAGGGTTTACTTTTGTGTTTTGTCCGGATTTGAAGTTAGAAATTTGGTTAGTGCAGGATATGGACCACGGAGCAATTGTCGCCTTGCATGGGTCCTTCAACCCGAACCTAATGAGCGATAGGAGTAGTGTGGTATATATATATATATATCATAAAGATGTGTATATATTATTCTTTTTCAACACATTTTCCCATGGAAGTCTTCACCACCGTGCGGTATCCTAAGGGATAGCAGCAAACTCATTCAAAGTTTGCTGATTTTACTAAAAGTAACTTATGCTAAGGCAGTGGATTATATACATACGTAGAAATGTCGTGGTCTAGAGGATATCTCACCGAATCGTGGATCGCATGGTTCGCGGTTCGACTCCTGTCGCGGCGCCAATGTCTTTTGGCCTGACATTAATCTCAATTAGTCACCTTCCACCCAGGTTTAGTAAATGGGTACCTTGTGGGAAATTATTCCCTGCATGCTTTTTGGGCCTTAGGGCAGTTGGTTTAAAGCTACGGTAATGATAATACTTTGTAGGCGCCATGAACCTCCCTCGGAGAGGACTTTAGCCGTTGGCCCTCGGGTTGCTTACTTACAAACAAACATATGCTTTCTTAGCAGTCAGATAATACAAACCATCAAACAAACCTACAAATTAAATCATGCATCCATTGTTTGAGTATTAGTCCATTGTGCATTCAAACATGGAAAATTGTTTGCTCACGTTAATTTATCCCTTAAGACATATGTGTGGGCAATAAGAATGTAGGTACAAATATCATGTAATGCATATACTAGAGGCATTATGGAAAGAACTGGTTTCGGTTTCCGTGGTTTCATGATGAAGTGGTTCATTCACTTAACTCGTAATCCTAGGGTTGAGGGTTCGAAGCCCAGTCTGGCACTAACGTCCTCTGGCAGGACACTTATCTCCAGCCAGGTGTAAATTGGTACCTGGCAATTACTGGGGTAGTTATTTCGGGGCCATCAGAAAGTACAGCATCGATGATGATGATGAGGCTTCCCTTGGTAAACAGGATTTAAGTTTTCATTTTCACCTAGTATTTAAAGATTTTTAAGGGATCACACTGACTTGCTAAATTGTAATTATTATGCAAAATCATAATCACCGATGAAATTAAATTTTCAATAATCTCTCTTTTGTATTCATTTTCATATTCCACAGGGAGTTCTCGTGGTGCAGGTGAGAACATTTTATTTTACGTACTTAATATTATAAAAAGTAAAAGACGCTCATATTATTTGCTAAAAGACGAATAAAATAATGTAATGCGATGTGATTTTAATAGCCTTTTTATTTGGGGTACTCTCAAGTCCAAAAACCAAATGATGAAAATTCAATAATCCTTCTCTGCCCATACATTCTCAGGGGAAATACCAGGGAGGGTTGAACAAAATGGGTCGTTCTTCTCCTCTTCTGACAATCAGCCAGTGAGAATGAACTTCACGAGAAGTGTTCAATTTAAATATATCAGCGGCGAATCCAGGGTTCTCTGGGAGGAGGGGGGGGGGGGTTGGTAGGCACAAGCTCTAAAATTCAGTTTCTCGTCTTTTCCCGTTCATCCTTTTCCCTTTCGGGATTGTTTGTTCATCCCTTTATAAAGGGAAGAAGAGGGGCGTACGTATCCACTATAGCTGTTCCACTGTTGTCACTCCTGTACATGCATTCTTCTTTTTAAAGGATTAGTTGAGTTTTGTTAAAGAGGGCGCTGCACAACATGATTTGTTTGTGAGATAATGAAAAATAAATGTAAAAATGGAAAGAATATACATTTCAAATTACGAAATCATCTTTGTTAGATAAAAATCGGTAAATATTACCATTTTTTGCTATTTATGGTGCCCCATAAACATTTGGTAATTTTTAACCGGCCGTTGAAAAACGAGATAGCGCCTTATACGTTTTATTCCGGCAGCCAATGCCAACATTGGCTTTTTGTTGGCTGTTTCGTGTTGGTTATAAAACGCACAACCAGCCGGCCCGTGTATTGTTATTATTAATTAATTAATTAATTAACTTTTATCGCATTTGTTGTTTGTTTAAGTGGAGCTGAATTAGTATGATTGTATTTAATCTAAATTCACACATGTTGAGGTCTAAAATTACCTTCATAGCAATGTTTAGGTTTTAAAAGGGCACTATAAATGTCATAAATAAGAATAAGAGCAATAACCATGCACCTTGAAGGCATTTGCAGTCTTAAACAAGAACTCAACTCTCCTTTTAAGCAAAACTATACACCTAAAATGAGAGGCTTAGAAGTCGTGGATTTTGTTCAAGTTGTTAACGGTGCAGTAACATTTCCGCATAAAACATAGCCATAAAACCTCTCTCATATTTGAGGCGGTAAACCAAAAAAGTTCTATTTTTTTAAACAAAATAAAAAATGATGACGTAAATGTAGGCTTAATATGCTCCATATTTCTATATGCTGTAACACAAAGCTTTGTGGATGCTCATAGGACATTTGTTGCACGCACTTGTCATTTATTCATATGTTATTAATACAAAACACGAAGTTTATGTTATCCAGCTAATAAAATAAAGATACCAGTACTTGACAATACGTTGACAGAAATTGTGTAAACTGTTGTTACGTGTCGTTACGTGGTTATCGTTGTTACATGGTGATACATTATGTTACATGGCCTTACGTGACGTTAAGTTGCTATACCTGGTTTTACGTGGTGTTATGTGGCTATACGTCGTCGTGGTATTATTATAAGCCCAATTATTAACCATTTTTAATGACCATTGCAGAATTATTTCATTTCAAGTATTCAATGCAAATATCCCTTTCAGAGGTGCGACTTGCTGGATCAGGTAGCTCCGCCAATCAAGGTCGAGTCGAGGTTTATATAAATGAGCAATGGGGAACAGTATGCGACAATCTTTGGGGGATCAACGACGCTGATGTAGTGTGCAGGCAGTTAGGCTTCCCTGGAGCTTCTGGCGTCACGAGAGATGCCAAGACTTTTGGCGCAGGCTCAGGACCCATCCTTCTGGACAGAGTGAGATGTGTAGGCGACGAAACTTCAATACTGGACTGCATGAAGAGCGCAATCGGTTTCCACAGTTGCCTTCACTCTGATGATGCTGGAGTCATATGTGACATAGGTAAATCACGTAAATCTCCAAACAAAATTTGTCCTAGATGCTGCTTGTAAGTGTCGGCTTGCATGGTGATGTAGATATACAGTAGGTTTGCGGTTGCACCATGTATGTGAGAGAGAGAGAGGTTTGAGGAGTCCTGAACAGGACTCTGACTCGGTAATCTTTCTTGGAGGAGTGTAGTCCTGAAAAGGACTGTTTGTTATCTTTCTTGGCATATAGTTCTCAGGAGAAATATAGCGCTTGGAGAGGATGAGTGGCTCGACGTTTCGAACAGGTTGACTATCCGTCGTCAGGAGTGGGGAATAGCTGACGCACGCCAGCTATTCCCCACTCCTGACGACGGATAGTCAACCTGTTCGAAACGTCGAGCCACTCATCCTCTCCAAGCGCTATATTTCTCCTGAGAACTATATGCCAAGAAAGATAACAAACAGTCCTTTTCAGGACTACACTCCTCCAAGAAAGATTACCGAGTCAGAGTCCTGTTCAGGACTCCTCAAACCTCTCTCTCTCTCTCACATACATGGTGCAACCGCAAACCTACTGTATAAAATTTGTCTTGTACTCCTGCTCCGATAACTATTCTTCCATGATTGGTTTCGTCATCACGGCAGTAGCGATTCTAATGGGGGGGGGGGGGTTGAAGGGGGCTCAAATCACCTGCCTCTAAACAAATACAAATAAATGATAACAAATCTTTAATCACTCGACCTCGCCCACCCCAAAACAAATCGGTTTTAATAAATTCAATCAAAGGGCGTGCAGACAATCAATGTAAGAGCCCAAAGGCTTGACTTCATCAAAAAATAAACAGAATGAAATCTTCTAGAACCGTGACCAGCTAGATATAGGATTATAGTAGGGTGGCGATAGGGTTGTATGGATAAGTTTAGACCTATAGGGTTAACTTTTTATGTTTGGTCCTGATACGAAGTTAGAAACTCGGTTAGTGCAGTATTTGGACCACGGAAAACTGTTGCCGAACATGGGTCGTACAATCAACCCACCTTATGAACGATGGGATTAGTGTGGTTCAATGTGTGTGGTCCAATGTGTTAGTGTGGTCCAATGTATATCTACACTGTCGCTCATATAGTTGGAATATTTTTGTTTTACCCCAATTTATGGAATTATTTAAAATATAATATAAAAATAATAGATCTAGATAACAGTATACATTCTCAGATTGTATTGGATAATAATTTGCCAATGTGTATTTTGCATGACTGCTAAAGCATGTATATGCTACTATGCTTATCAACTAGGGGACCTACGCGCTTAAGTCATGAATGACGGTAATGAGGATTAATGCCCCACAAAAAGGCACTAATATAGCACATCGACACGGTTTTGATCATGGGCCTCACAGTTACGAGGCCATTACTTTGTCACTGGATCATGACTGTATGTATCGGGGGCTAGGGTAGGGGGCAGTTTCCATAAATATAAAAAACAGAAAATGCAATGAATTTTCAATAATTTATTGCATTTTACCCCAGTCCCCAACATAAAAAAAATCCTCTGGACGGCCATGCATTATGGCTCAAGGCATGGGCACATAGGGGATTTTGTTAATGTTGGGAACCGGGGTAAAGTGCAATACATTATTGAAAATTTATTGCATTTTTTTTTTTTTATAATAATGGAAAATGCCCCCTACCCTAGCCCCCGATGCGTACAGTCATGGTTCAATGACAAAGCAATGGCCTCGTAACTGTAAGGCCCCAGGATCAAAACCGTGTCGATGTGCTATATTAGTGCCCTTTGTGGGGCATTAATCCTCATTACTGTCATTTATGACTGCAGGGCGTAGATCCCCTAGTTGATAAGCATTGTAGCATACACATGCTTTAGCAGTCACTCAAAACACACATTGTCAAATTATCATTCAATAAAATCTGAGAATGTATACTATTATCTAGATCAATTATTTTAAAATTATTTTTGAAGTAATTCCATAAATTGGGGTAAAACAAAAATATTCCAACTATATGAGCGACAGTGTATATCTATACACATATATGTATATATATATATGTATATATATTCAATATAGATGTGTACATATAATTTTTTTCAACATATTTTCCCATGGTAGTCATCATCACTCTGCGGTATCGTACGGGACAGCAGTAAACTCTTTTTGCTTTTACTAGTATTTACTTGTGCTAAGGTATAGAGGTTTATATATAGGTAGAAATGTCACGGTCTAGAGGATATCTCGTGGATCGCATGGTTCGCGGTTCGAGTCCTCTCGCGGCGCTAATATCTTTTGGCCCCGCCCCCCCCCCCCCCCCCCACTCAGAGGTCGGAATGACCGCATGCGTGTTGCCAAAATGTCCGGTAAAGGGGTACTTTTCGTACGACAAAGTCCGGCCCGAGAATTGTAAGAAAAAAGGGCTGTATTTGACTTTTCACCCGGAGATTTCTTTAAAAAGGGGGTGTTTTTCTTTTTTTCTCTCATCTCTTTGGACTCCTGAGAAATTATTCCGAATTTAGGAGGGTACATTGGGCATTTTTCCTGATTTAGGGGGGTCTCCAAGGCAGGAAAAGCTCGCGAAAGGGGGGTTCGGAAATGTTGGCAGTCCTCAGATAGGGGGTGCTTTCAAAAAGAGGGTACGAGCATATGCGTACCCTAAATAACACTGAGTGGGGGGCCGGGCTTTTGGCCTGACATTAATCTAAATTTGCCACCTTCCACCCAGGAGTAGTAAAAGGGTACCTTGTGGGGAATTATTTCCTGAATGCTTTGAACGTCTTGGGGCAGTTGGTATAAAGTTTGGGTGATGATAACACCCGACAACCCGACCCGAAGCGAATACTAGTCGGAACGAAATAAACCGCAATGCACGAACTGATCTTTCGACCGAATTGTTCGCCCCTCCCGAACAAATAAATGCAAAGATAAATGCACCCAATCAAAAATGATAAAGACGATTCACAACTGTAGCTACCTATTATTCAACAAATACTTTAAAAATACAGCCATTATATTTTTATTTGATAGCTGACTTTCATGAAAACAAAAGTATTATGAATTATAAAGCATATTTTAACTAACACATTTGACAATTATGTTTTCGGATGAATATTCGGAAATACGTTCGTATTGGTTTGTTTTCGCAATATTTCAATAATATCTTGTTTTTTTTTCTTCTTTTTCAATTGTATTTTTAACGATAATGTGATTTTAAATTCAATTCTAGTAGTATTATCATTGTCATTCAGAGCTGAGATTACCTGGTTAGACATTTATTAAATATATGTTAAAGTGCAATTATTGATATAGGGTATGTATAATTTAATGATTAAAAAAAAAAAACTGAGGTTTAAAAAAAATGATTATCTAATTACTATTAACGGAAAGTACATGTGTAGTTCTCATTCGTACCCCGACATTATGCATATTCAATGAAAGAATAGTATCTTTTTTTTTAATACAGTCAATGCAACAAGAATGAATTGAAAATGTTTTTTTTTTTCGTATCTCCCCTTTACCGTAAATATTGTATCAGCTGAAAGACGCAGCATGGAGGAAATGGAGTTATACTATAACATAGAAGAACAGGTAAGGATCATCTTCAAAGACAGATAAGAATGGATTTTAAAAAGATATATTGCTTTCAACTACATGTAGTAAATGCACCATGTGTAAGTACACATATATATATGCACAGTACGTATCGAAAAAGTGTTCCCAACTTTGGTAGCTTCTAACTAAAGTGTCGTAACATATGTGACTTTAAATCATACTTAATGGTAAAAGGTAACTAATACCATGTATAATGACACCCTATTCATAAGTGTGCTGCCACGGTTGACTGAGCAGCAGGCTTTTTAAAAAGTATTGTCAAAATTCTCTTGTACAAAGTTTAGGCTAAAGCAATGAATGTGGGTCAAAAGCCATTATGTTTGTGTTATCTCATTCCAAAACAATTGCTCACTTTATTTGCATGGATAGTCACTGACTATAAGGCAGTTGCAAAAAAAAGGTGTTTATACCAACTCAAATTGAAGCAAATGCCTATTACAAGTTAAATTTATGATAGTTACTTCACTATGATGATTGCAATCTTGACTTCATTCGCATCCCTTGTTTAAGGTAATCCTTTTCATTGGGTGATACAAAATTGGATAAAGTTTATTTAGGGAGTTATCTTATTATTAAAGTCTACGGTCAATTTCCTTGATATTTATTTTCATATGTGTTATTTCTTACCTTTGGGTTTAGTAACCTATGAGTTTTAATTCGCTATTTGAGATAAAAACGTTATGCTCCTTATGCGTCTGAACTGCCACAACGGAAAATGAGCAGAGAGAACTTAGATATCATGAGACAGGAAGTTAACAGACTGTTCAAAATCATTAAGGGTTATCCTATGGATTGAAACAAGTTTCTGTGAAAGCCTAGATACATTGTATTATTTTAAACAATGAATCATTGAATCACGAGGCATAATGTAACTTTTAAGAGGATTTAGGACCAAAGAATCACATGCATACTGCCTGACCCGCATTCGTTGCATCAGTCCAGACTTGGTACACGGCGATTTTGACAACACTTTTTTCTAAAGACGCTAGTGCTCAGTCACCCGTTTCAGAAATATTATGAATATGGTATCATTGGAGAAAACAGTCCACTTGGGGGAAACAACATTTTAGTTGTAGTAGTAGTAGTACAGTGGCGGATCCAGGTAAAAAGGAGGGGAGAAAGAAAAGGGAAGAGAGAAAGAGGCAGAAACGAGGGAGGAGAGAAAAGGGGAGGGGAGAAAAAGGAAGGGGAAATGAAAAGAAGGGAAGAGGGAGAGAGGAGAGAAAAGGCGGAAAAGGAAGAAAGGGGGAAAGACGGAGGAGAGGAAAGTGGGAAAGGAGAATAATGAGAAGGAAAAAGAAGGAAAGGGGGATACCTGGAAAGGGGTGGGGGCACGCAATTTTAAGTCGAACATGACTAATACCAAAGATTTTATCTCCTTTATAACTTATAACTTAGTCTTGAATGACTTTTCCGATATACCTATTCTAAGTGCTCTTTCAGCAGATTGTCCCGCCATTAATCATTCCACAGTTCCTCGTTTCATTGTCATATTATTTTCTGTCATCCATGTGGCCACGAAGAGTACAATCCTGCCTACCACAAAGTTTCCATCCGTTTCGCAAGCACATTTTTACATAGCCTTCATGTAATGCTTTATTGCTTCCAGTTTGAACTTCAACCATTTCCCTTTCAATGTAAACGATCTAGAAGTGATGAATTGTGGAAATTGAATATGTTACTTTCGAAAGCTATTAATGTACTTTTGAAGTATTTTTAGGGGGTTAAAATTAGAATTAGTTAAAATGTTATGTGCATAGAAAAACGTCATCAGACCCACACAGTATCCGCATCCTCATTGGGTCAAACCCCCCTTAAACTGTTACTTGATTTCAAAAGACGTTATCATGCACTGCTTGTTAGGGTCTCCATTGTGTTAGTAAAGACGCCAGGAAAACATGCCTGACCCGCATTCGTTGCATCAGTCCAAACTTGGTACAAGGCGATTTTGACAACACTTTTTTTCTGAAGATGCTAGTGCTCAGTCACCCGTTTCAGAAATATTATGAATATGGTATCATTGGACAGAAAACAGACCACTCTTCACCATGAGGTGGATGTAATTACTCAAGAATAAAAGTTGGAAGAAGTGAACATGGGCCTTTATGGAATACTTTATAATAATATTAATAATATTCGGTTCTTGTATAGTGCATATCACATTATAACGTTTCTTTGCGCTTCCAAAGAGCTTTGGAAATTATTACCCCGGCTTAAGCATGGCTGCCATTACGGCGCTCCAGCATTTCATGGAATTAATTCCTGCCAGGTACCAATTTAGCCCACCTGTGTCAAGTGTGGCAAAGGACATTAGTAACGTGGAGGGACTCGAACCGCAGACATATCTACTAGACCACGACAACTCTACATATTTACATATAAGCATATACAGGAAACATAAATTGTAACAAATACATTTTTCACATTCGCTGAAAATTACAAAACTTGGTATTAAAGGCTGTGAATAATTTAGTTGTGAACTGTATATAAAGCGCATCCCAGAAGGAAAAAAAAAGAAACCTGAAGACAAACGATTACTATGAGTAATCTATGAGCAGGATGATAATAACTATTTCATAAAGTATAACTAATGTATCGAAAATAATATCGCTAGTGATATTCGTTTGTCTCGCAATGTGGTCAATAAGGAATCTAAAAGATCACGACGTTTCGTATGCTAATGCGATACTTCGTCAGGTGATAAAAACTATTGTAAGCAAGGGTCTTTTATACTTTACGGGAGGACCGGCGGAGCGGTCTATAATTCGATCGATAATTGGAACAATAACGCCCAATGCCTATTGGTCGACGCACACGGTGATCGACCAATCACCAAGGCCGCTGGTTCGGCCGCTGGTTCGGCTGATGCACCAGGCCTATTGGCCGACGCATACGGTACTCAACCAATCAACGGGCCGCTGGCTCGGGCCGTCTGCTGAATGGAATCGACCGTTGTTGGCTGGCAGGACGGCGAGTGTCATGGCGGCGTATCGTCCGCATCCAAAATTCGGGGATACGATCCCGTTGTCTCTGTTGAAATTATTAGGATTGAGACGGATATTGATAGCTTCTTTTACCCTCCGTGTATACCAATGCCGTTCCTGGGAAAGGCACTGAACCCCGTCCCAGTCTGGTTGATGCTGGTTATCCCAAGCATGTTCGGCTACGGCTGAGTTGTCAGTTCGACGGAGTCTGACGTCCCTCTTATGTTCAGTGATTCTTTCTTTTATCGGACGGGCAGTTTCACCGATGTAGGATCTATCACATCCGACCGACTCCGCATCAAGATACTTGACCGCTGTCTCAACTTTCGCAATTATTTCGGTAGCTGGAATCCGTCTAGGGGAGACGGCAAAGCCGAGGCCTTTCTTAAGAATCTCTTCTTCCGAAGAAGTGATCGTTCTAGAAGCACGCCCCCCTAAACACAACATTTCGAAAGAAATGCACACCGCTCTCAAAACTTTGAAGGCTGATGATAGTATTACTATTCTTCCAGCCGACAAAGGTCGTGCCACAATCATTCTAGACACCACAATATACCATGAGAAATTGACCGACTTATTGGAGTCTGGTCCGTATCGTGTATTAAAGAAAGATCCCACAGATCGCTTGGCTCGCAAGCTTACCAACACCTTGCTGAACCTAAAGAAAGACAATGTGATGGATGAACTGACCTATCGTAGACTGAAACCCACACAAAAGCAACCTCCTAGAATATACGGGTTACCCAAGATACACAAACCCACAGTACCATTACGACCTATAGTGTCATGCATAGGCTCCCTTGCCTATAACCTCTCAAAGTACCTAGCTTAAATTCTTTCTCCGCTCACCGGTTTGACTGAATATACGGTTCCCAATTCGAGTGGTTTTGCAGAGTTCATAGCAGAGCAAACCATCGGTACTCAAGAACGCATGGTTTCGTTTGACGTAGTTTCACTCTTCACCAATGTACCGATTGAGGGCGCATGCAATGCTACATTGCAACGCTTACAATCAGACAGCAATTTGTCTACCCGTACCGCACTCTCACCGGAACAACTCGCTCAACTCCTCGAGTTTGTTCTACGATCCACATATTTTCTGTATAAAGGTTCATACTATGAACAGACAGAAGGGGCAGCCATGGGCAGTCCAGTCTCGGCTGTCGTGGCCAACCTATACATGGAGAGTTTCGAAGAAGAATCGTTGGACACATGTCCCCTCTCTTGCTTGCCTCGTGTTTGGAAGAGATACGTAGATGACACCTTCATCATAGTTCCCATCTCTGAAACAGATACGCTGCTTAAACACATGAATAGCCTTGAACCAACCATCCAGTTCACATCAGAGATAGAGTGTGAAGGGAAGATAGCATTCTTAGACACTCTAGTTCATAGACACGACAACCATAGGCTCTCCACCTCAGTCTATAGGAAGCCTACCCACACAGACCAGTACATAGCGTTTGACTCTCACCATCCCATATCGGTGAAGAGAGGTCTAGTGAAATGTCTATTTGACAGAGCTTCACGCATTGTGACAAGTCCACAACAGCCATGCAAAGAACGGACCCGTGTTCGCAGTGCCCTGAGTCTCAACGGTTACCCACGCCGTTTTATACACAATACCAAGAATAGATCGTCGGAACCCAGGAATCAGAAGGTATACAAGACTTTTACAGTCTTGCCGTACATTGATGGGGTCTCCCAACAACTCAAGCGCCGCTAGAGAGCCATGGCATTCGAACGGTTTTCAGATCAGATACCACCCTACGTCAACAACTTACACGCCCCAAGGATCCAATTCCTCCACATAGACGGGACGGCATTGTGTACAACATCCCTTGTAAAGGATGTGATAGATCCTACATCGGTGAAACTGCCCGTCCGATAAAAGAAAGAATCACTGAGTATAAGAGGGACGTCAGACTCCGTCGAACTGACAACTCAGCCGTAGCCGAACATTCTTGGGATAACCAGCATCAACCAGACTGG